AACAACCAACGAGGTGCCTGTGTCGGCCACCGCTTGGCAACCATTTTGGCAAAATGTACTACCCTGGTCATTGCCTACCTGTACCGAGGCCATGGTAAATTGCCAATAGCCTTGTTGAGTCACCGGTACGTACGCAATGTTACCTGTATAGCGGGCCGAGTCTATGCCACCAAATAGCAGCTCACCCCCGGTGGTTTGGCCGCCGGTGGTAGTGTTACGATTCAGGTAGACTGAGAACACGGGTTTGGCCAGCAATCCCTGTGCCAGCATGTTGTAAAACGGTGGCACCACGTTGTCGATGGCATCTTGCTGAAATGCCAGCCCTAATATACCGTCAAACTGGGCGAACACAAACGTAGTGCTCGACTCTTGAGTTGTCTCGGCAAACGTCTGGTTGACTACTTTGACTGACCCAATGGTTAGGGTATCGGTGCTCAAAAATCCTACGGCACTACCCGTGTCGTACTGTATGGCAAATGCGGTGGCCGACACAGGCACCTCGTTGGTTGTTGGCCCCACCGATGAGATCGATGCTATTAATCAACTGCTGGGCGCCGAGGATATCGGTAGCGGTGAGTATACCGTTGACTGTAATAATGTGACGGCATTGCCGAACATAACGTTTACTATCGGCGGTATAGGCTATGCGTTACAGCCCTCGCAATATATACTACGAGAAACGGTATTATTTGTGGAAATTTGTTTGTCAGGTTTTCAGGGTCAGAATAGTACTCTGTGGATACTTGGTGATGTTTTTATCGGCGCATATTACACCGTGTTTGATTATGGTAAAAAGCGTGTCGGATTTGCAACCATTGTAAATTAATGTTTTTAATATTAAGCCTATTTTTTAAACTCATTAATTCTTTAATAATTTTATTTTAATTATAATGTAAATGTTTGTCAACAAACTTCTATACGTTTATAAACACATTTATTTTCTTATATTTATTTTATTATCATTAAAATACATAAAATTATTTTTGTCTGTCTTTATTATTATTACTATTTATTGTTTTACAAACTGTACTTTTGAATTTTTATATACTAGATTATAATTAATAGCAAAATGTTTTAAATAGAAATGGACTAAAATGTCAATTGGAATTAATTAATTGGTTAGATATTTTTAAAAAATGTTTTGTAATATTTTTATAATAATAATAATCACATTGACATTAAATTGATAAATATTAATTCATTTACATCGTGAAATTTATTTGTTGCTGTTGAATTTATTATAAATTACTTAATAAAAAAGCTAATGTTAAGAACATTTTACTAAATCAATATTAAACAGAACAAAAGCTAACAAGCATTTAATTCAGTAATTTAAATAATAGTTTTAATTATATTAATCAAAAGTTTATTTAAGTTAAATAAAAATCATATTTTTCATTATAACTTTATATGTACTTGTTAATTTATTATAAGTATAAATAAACCGGACGACCACTTGTGGTGGACGGAGCGGGTGTTGTTGTTGTTGTCGGTGTTGTAATGCCGGTCACATTGAACTCACAGGTAGTATTGTACGGGTAATTGCGGCAAAAGTGAAAACCACTTTTCCTGGTTGTTTTGTTAAATTGAATTTCAAGAAATTCAAATGTTTTTGGCAGACAGTTGTTCTAGATAATATACGATGATTATATATAATTAAATCAAAATAAATGTTGCTACATAGTAGATATTATGTTGCATAAAAACATAAATTCAATTGATACTGCACCTTTACTTCTAACCTGGTGCAATTAAGTAACTGCCAAAAACCGCAGCATGGTGATTTGTCGGCAGTGCTGGTAAGTGTTGTTTGCCAAAAATCCTCGACAAAGTTTGTGGGATAAGTCAATGCAGTTGTGGCCAAACATCGTCTCAGTTGTATGTGTATGTTTGATCCGCATACTTTTACCATAGTTGCTTTAGCATCTTGGTGAAAACCAAGCACATTTACGTTAGTTAAGTAAATGATAATTAAGGT